AACAAAAAATAATCGTTTCCAAAAAAAAAATAATTAGGTACCACATACACATCCACCGTTGATCACAACCTCCGTCTGTCTGTGTACATCAACTTGAGCTCAAAATAAAAAAGGCCCACGTCTTACATCGATGGTTTAACTAAAAAAAAGTGCAAGTACCTTTTCCCACCAAAATGTGTTTAATCTTATTGGAAGGAATTGTCTCAAAAAAACGTGGGAAGTAATATTATATCCATAGTGCTGTAAACAAATGTAAAGGAAAGACTTTGAAAATCATACTTTGTTATTGATTTGTCCATCGACTTTTACAGTATAATAATTATAATTAGTATCTTAGACATCTACTATGTACTCATTATTTCATAATTGGACCGCCAGCGAAACTGGCTGAAATGAACAAATATAAATTAATTATATTAAAAACAAATTATTTAATTGAACAGTTAATAGCTGTGACTAGTATCAGTGAAGTATACTTAAGAAAAAACAAAGACATAATTTATATATTATAGTATATATATATATATATATATATTCTTTCCTAAAGAGGAAACGGAAGAAGATTGAGAACATTTTGAGCCGCCAACGTGCCGAACGCCTAGCAAGGTTAAAAAATATATTTGTTATTATCCAATATCGATTTCAGTTTAAAAGTACATCAGTTGATGTCTCATTCACACGCAACACAGTCTGATAAAAATGAAATAGCTATATTGTTAATGCTTTATTTGTCAAGGTAGTCAAATCATTATATTACTTAAATACAGTCAACCTAGCCAATATTATATGTATATGTATAACATTTTGTAATACACAGGATGACGTTTATTTTAACCAAGTAGGTTAATTTGAAATAATTGTATGATAAGCAAAAATTACAACTGAAAATCATTTTGGTAGATGTGAGTGTTGGTATTTTGAAAACAACAAGCTATCGTTGATCAAAAATCTGTATTGTCAAACCTGTTATTTTGTATTTTTCCTTCTCGCCTCAACCCATTTCAATAGGTTCGCCCAGACACTATAAGGTGCACTCCGACAAGTCTCGGCTCTGCTATAGTTCTCAGACTCTAAGTATACAATACAATAATCCGGCCAGCCCGTATTGCGCAGTTGTCTGTACTGGCTGCAGTACATTGATGCGTTCGTTATTTAGTACATGTAATATACTTAGGTATATTTTTACATAACCACTGCGACCGTGACTGTTGGAGTACGCGTGCTTAACGGCTTAGACCAGCGCGGTTAATAGAAATAACGAATTAAATTCCTAATAATTATTGTTTGCAATCTGCAACCGACACACGAGATGCTGTATCGTTCAACAGCTTAGACATGCCCGAGGAGATCTACAAGACGTGTCTCAAGTCAATTAATCATTAATTAAATACAAACATTAACCGACATTCGCCTAAACCCAACCTATTGGCTGGCCGCCGTACGCACACGCCGCGGAAGAGATATTATCTAGACCGAAACAAGCGGGTCAGACACACCGTGGAAGATATTGTTGTGCAATATAATAATAATATCATTGTGTCAAAGTAGTATAGTACTTCACTATGTCTTGACTTTTCTCCTGGTTTCAGAATTTATTTTCAAACGATTTCAAATGTTATAACAGGAGAAAAACAGTGAAAAAAAATGTTGCTTAGTTACACATTTTGCAAAAATAAAAATAGCTCCACTTTTAACACAAAAAAATCCTAATTTTCAGTTTTACAAACAATTTCTACTTGCAAACGTAGTACATAAACGTTAAATTTTCATTTGAAAATTGTATTTTAGATAAAAATATTCATTATATATTACAACTATGTTGTATTGTTTACTAAACTATATTTGAAAAAATGTTTCACGCTTGTGTGTGATTTCAAACCGTTTGTTATTTTGTTAAACATAATATGTAAACACATTTTTTTTTATAAAATGTTTCAATAGCCTTCTTCTCTTTTTTAAGTAATATAGCAATATTCGTTTAAAAACTACTTTAATCACTTCTAAGCCGATTCAGACGCTTAGACCTAACTCCAGTATAGATTCAATCTTTTTTTCGACAAGGTAAACATAATAATAACTTATTTAGTTTTAATAACATGGGGACAACACTGGACGTCATAGCATGGTAATAACGAGGAGGATAATGTTTACATTTTTTTTTTTTTACATTGAGCTTTTTAAGATGTCAAATTGAGTGTAATCACTAGCTAGTGTCGTTAACAAACTAGACGGAAATAATATGTCGAATCGATCCTATGATGACTAAAGCATACATACACACACACAAGCTGCTTGCGTCATCTACCTGAATAGATTATGAAATCATTTTCGTCTAGAACTGATTATTATTATCATAGCTGGCAGTTAGCAATTTACCGCAAATTAAATGCAATAACCGAACAATAATATTCGCACAAACTGTAACTTGGATAGAACGTACCTATTTTGTCGCCAACGACCTCGAGAATTATAAAATAAAACATTATTTTGTTTTTTTTTTATCATTTTGCTAGTTTTATTGCATAAATAATCATTAAAATATTATTATAAAATAATAGTCTATTCTGTGTTGTTATTGTCTTCCCGACACTGTCTTCAAGTATAGCAGAAAACAAAATCTCTTAGAACGCACAAGGTTTATCCCGTCGTTTGATTTTACCTAGCTCGGATTTTTATCTATCTTTGTTTGTTCTATAATTTGTTGTATATTAAATGTATATTTAAGTGCACAGAAGAAAACTAATGAACATCACCCATATGAATACATAATTTTCAATTTGCTCTTCTGTATATAAATCATTTATACTTTTATGATTCTTATCACAATAAAATCAACCGTGTTAACAGTTAAATTTTGAATCATGCTCATATTAATGGCATTTTTCAAAGATAATTTTTTAATTATATCAAATTATCTACATGACGTATCTTCAAGGTGCCAAAACAACTTTCGATGTACCTTACAAAAGTTGAGGCCCTAATTAGTATAACTATTTTATCTATTTGTAACATAAAAATATTAGTTAAAACAATTATTGTAGCGCTTCAAATATCGTATAATAGATCAAATTTACTGTTAACTGAAGGAGTTGACACCTAAGGAACCTAATGTTTAATTATCTTTGATAAAAATATTTTTTATGATATTCTATTAGATTATAAAACACTCTTCCTTATATGATTTGATGTACAAGTCACAACTGTTTTATAAACAAATATACACATTTTATATAATACAATTTTTTTCCAATAATTCACTATGGTTTTTTTTTTATTTGTTTACAAATTTTAACAATTGTATCGAGGTTTTTAAATTTTAAGTTACACCTAGATTCAATTAGACATTAAATCGGCTGTTATATTATTAATTTATTTCCAGTAGGTCGCCTGAAGTGTTGTTTATAATGCTAATCTACAGGCGTTGACACATTATCGCATTTATGTGTATAGGAATATCGGTCGGGCGCTTGCATACAAATGCAACGTTAAACCATACTCAATAGTGGTCGAAAGCAAGTGGTAATTATTATTGTACCCGGTTAACGCAAGACACATTTTTTAGCAGTTTTTCTTAAGATTTCTCAGTGTGCATTTTGTACTGCACACACAGAGGATAGTACATAATATAATGTAAATCCGCGTTCGGTAATTCGGTTACATTACCGGATAGAGGCAGAGTCGACCGCGACACGGCCAACACGCATTATGTGCGCGTCTCCTACCAAAAGTCACCTATTAATATTGTGTTACCTATACTGAACATAATATAATATACAGGTATACGGTGGTGTAGCGAATACCTGTATGCATTCCGCAGCGGCTCCCTACTCAATACGGAATATAAGATGTACATATAAATAACATCTATATTATTGCCTACAAACTTTTTTTTTTTTTTTTTTGTCTCGTTCTATTACGTTTTTTTACCTAATATTCGTCGGACGGACTGTGCCGGTTTCACAACATCTCCAAGCACTGACACACACACACTCTTACAATATCACAATATTATATTTTTAATTATCACAAGCCATATTATTATGATAATAGATAATAATAATTATTATTAATATCGAGAGGCGTCGTTCAAATTTGGCTGCCAATAAACTGCGTTAACGCGACCCATATCGGTTTCAATAATAATAATGATAATAATTATAAGTTAATAAGATCACTTCTTATTACTATCACCGTAGTCGAGATTGAATCGTCCACTCAATGTATGTAGGTAACGACCGGTTAAATCCTAATGCTTTAAAGTTGTGTTAATTATTATTGACAAATAGTCTAGTAATATGGGTGTGATGAAAGTTTTCCATTGTATAGCTACTACTCTTTCAAAAGCTTAAGGTATTTATACCTTAAGTGATTTATAAATTAAAAAATGTCTATATTTTTAGGGTTTTTTCTATGTATATGAAGTAAATTTTCTGATGCGTAGATTGACTGCGTAAATAAATCTCGGGTTAAACATGAAGATTAAAGGTGAAGTCGTGAGTTCAGACACTAAATTTAAAAAAAAAACCAGTCAGGTGATCAATTCCACGAGAAACTTAAATAATTAAGTATTTTTGAAAATATTTTATTTTACAAATAAATACAATCTCACGTGTGTCCTTTCAAACTTGGTTGCAACATTTTTGTTGCATACATTTTTTAAGTGTAAAATATTCAGTCAATTTAGACATGTTTAGGTACAATCACAATGCCAAAATTGTTAATGTGTTCAATGTGCATTCGTAAGATATAATAATAAGTTTTATAAGTTAAATTTACAATAATAATACATTTATTTCATTGGGTAGGTCATCCAGCGTTGTGAGGATCAAGTTCCACATAAGGTCGCCCAATTTGTATGATTTACTAAATGTGTTAGTACCGATCTGTTAGTTACTATTATTAACTCAAGTAAGTTATCTCAAAAGATCTATCCGCTGTGTACAGAAACCTGTAGTGGAACCTACTTTCCTCTTGGATATTGGCCAAGAGGTTTTGCTCAAATGTTTTCCATATTAGAACAAAAAAATGATAAAAAATGGCCTAAGTATAAGCTGGGGGGGGAGGGGAGCAATCTGTTATCGTAGAGCTTGTAGTGTGAATCCGGTCGGCTTGGGCGAGTTCAGAAGCGATTATTATTATTATTGTGAAGCTTTGTCAGCCACATTTCTTGTGTGTTCATTGTGATTACATATTATACCTATGTTATCCGGCGCAGCACTACTCTGGCTAGGTCGAGCGAGTGGGGTTAAACGGACCTTCTCGGCCTTGACTCGTTATGGTTAATCGTACTCGTGTTGCAATCTTCAATTGTTTACTTATTGTATTAAGTATGTGGTCGCACACTAGCAATGACTATAATATGTTCCACCCTGTTCTTTCACAAATTTCTTTCTGTTTTCCAGTCATCCTAGCCAGCGCTTAGTCGTTATAGCTGTCGATCGCTCCAATTCTGGCTAGTCAAGTTTAGTTTTATGATGTAGTTTACACCCAACGCCAATTATTTGTCTTTGATTGCCCATAAACAATTAAGTACTATCTGGGCAAAGACAAGTGTCGACACAGTCCACATGTATACAAACTATTGGAAAAAAGTTGTTTTTAAATTAAATTATTTACTTGTTTTTTTTTTTCATAAATTATAATAATGTATACGGTATACCATTAAAAGGGTACCTCTAATCTAAAATGATGTTAAATTCGAGCCATCCAAAGTAGTTAAAATGATTGCCTTAAGTACTCATATCATGACAGCATTGTATAACCCATTTAAAATGAAGTGACTCAAAGTCAATTGATTTCTTTTGCCATAACTACATTTTAGAGAACAACTTAGAAGACTCAATGTTTCCTGTTACAGTTGTGTGTGGTTATTTTTGTCATTTAACAGGAACATTTATTTAGGCCAGTTCAATATTTATTTTTTAGAAACCCTTATTACAACACTAAAATAATTAAAAACAAAAGATGGTGAGAAGAATGTGATTGATTTATTATTTTAATTAAGTTAGGAAAGGTTAGGTTTCAGTTAAAATAATTTCAAAACATTTACCTAGGCTTGTGCACATCGTTGTATCATGTCAGACATTCGACATTGAACTTTAAGATGTAATAACATTATTTATCAAGTAATTATAAAAAAAACCAATGTTGTTCCGTCCCGTTGAATTTTGTTATTACACTTGGTCGTCTTGGTCGCTGTCATTAACTGCTTTAAGTGACGTTTTTCCCCCAAAAAAAAACAGTATACTTACCGAGTGGGTAAAACCGCCGACAAGACTGTATAATCTTTTACATCTATTTAAGCTTTAGTGGGCTGTACTCGAGATCTGTTTTTATTTTGAACGTCTAGTCCATTGTAATTGGCGCCGGTCCAAATCGATTTGGAACCGTTTTAAGCGCCTAGGTTTTTTGTATATTTGTTTTTAACGACCTAGAAATATTGACAATAATTATTGTAACGCGGCACCCACAGTAACAATACCATAACAATAGTAATAATATTATTATGTCAGGTGAAAGTATTGGCCGGCTTGTGCAATAACCCGGTCGAGTTTACTTATTTTTGTCCAGCCTTTGCGGTAATTGAGTCAATTAAACTGGTCGAATAATTTTTTTTTTGGAAATTCCTTAAAGTTTACCATGTGTTCAACAGCTTAAGTTCAAAGCAAATACCGGGTGAGCTAAAAAGACAATACTGACATTTTTACATAAGCAATTTGGAATTAACAAAACAGACAAATCGGTTGTTGGTTATTAATGAGTTTTTTTTTTGGGGAGTTTTGTAACCAAGTCATTGTCGTTCAGCGAAAACCGAATTTAGCCAACTCATCGCAGTTTTCGTTTACAAGGCTGTGGCATGCCGGAATCGCATTTGAATGTACCCATTAATATCTTCCTAGGCGCCTTATGGGTATTTTATTCGATAAGTACAATTTGGCTTTTTTTGATAAAAAAAAAAAGAGAAAAAAATGTAACCTAACGAATAACAAACTAATGCCAATACAGGTGAGTAGGTGCTATTGCTGTAAAACAAAAATATATAATATATATTCTCTATGGACGGACCAACACAGGAAAGAACAGGAAGGTATTAACCAAAATGTGTACCGAGCCTATTGGCCGTGACCTTAGCAAAAGGAAATATGTCTATGCCACTTGAAGCTAAGAACCTATTAATAATTTGAAAAAATAATATTTACACTTTAAGTTTTAGTTTGATTATTGTCATTATATCGAAGAAATAATTAATTAATTATTTAGTGAAAGTTAATTGAGATTATAAAAAGTTTAGTCGGTCATGTTAAACCAAATCATCTTAATACTTGAATTTTAAATATTCGATTAACACCAAGGATATAGTAACTGAATAAAACTCAAGTAATGGCTGAAACAGGCGCGATAAGTTTCATACATTTGTTTATACTTTATCATTATTAAATATATATTGGAAACAAAAAATAAAACTACATTAATTTTTTTTAAAAAAAGAGTTAAGTTTAAGAAAATAATTACACTGAAAACAAACTGTGTTTTTTATTTATTTTTTTTTAGAAACTAAACACATTTTTTATCTGATCCACAAAAGAAAATTGATCTAAATGTTTGTTGCATACATCTTCGGAGGTGAGTACACTAATTGTCGGGCTAAAGAAATAGCGACCCACCGTGGATTTTTTTTTTTTGAAAAATTACACTGCATTTCTGTTGCGATAAAAATAATGTTCTCAAATTTTTTTGGATTTTTTTTTTCGATTAATTTGGCCATGGTCGTAAAAAAGTATTTTTAGTTTTGTTCTTACATTTATTTTTTATCATTTCGTTCAAAGTATTTTTATAGCCAACTAAAAAAAATTATTAAAAATCAGTATCTCGTGTAAGATAATCTCAGCTTTCTGAAAAATAAATAAATTTTTATTTCGAGAAACAAAAAGTCATTAAAATTATTTTTTTAATCTAAAAAGTTGTTGCCCATGACTTGAAAATGTTTCTAATATTTTTTTTTTTTTCAGAAAGCTGAGATATTTTTACATGAAATGTGTAAATGTCAAATTGGGTTGGCCATAAAAACTCTTAAAATAAAAATTAAAAAGGGATAATATATTATAAAAAGGTCAATACAACGGTAAATTATCTTATTTATTAAATCCTACGCTCAATGTACGCTACAAAGGGTATCTCAATTCAACAGTTTATTAAAAAAAATAATTATTAACAAACCGCAACAATTGAATCGTTGCACATTTTATTGTTGTCCTGCGAGCCTTGACACTGTAATAATTTATATTTTATAATGGGTTTTACAGAAAACTCACCAAGTCAAAAAAAATATGCACAATATACGGTTTAGAAATTAAAAACGACGGTTAATCGACTGAGGAGTGTGTTTAAGGTGTGAGGTGCCCACCTTGAATGGCGTTCAAGTTTAAATAAAACGTTAATGAGCGGTATTTCGCATAGATTCCGTCTGTACAATATAATACACATTCGAAGGTCTCCGATGGTGTACCTGTGTCAATGGGTATACGCAATAATAATATTTACAAAAATCGATTGTTCGCAAACATATTAATAGTGTATTTCAATGTCCTGTGTTTGCCTTGTCTGTAAACAACCGCGGGCAACTGCAAGTTTATATTAAGTCGCACATAGTAGTAGACGTTTTGCCAATGCCCCCCATGTATACAAAATGTGGTGTTAATGTATGGTTAACTCCTAAACTTAGAGGCAACCGAAAAAATGCCTAAGAAATATTTGAATTTCTGTCCATTGAAATTACTTTGTTTGTTAACAAAAGAGTCCGATAAATATCTTAAAAGTATAATATATAAATGTATACTTGTATTCGAAATAGAACACAATCAAAGCGTCATTGAGAGGGCATCAGATGCCAAACCGATTAACTCGACAGCATGGTTGGATTAAAAAAAAGCGTATAATTAAAATATAAAAGTACATTGGCAATTGTACTTACACACGTTGTTTCAAATAACTTTAACTGCATGTCCTGAAAAAATGCAATTTTATGGAGTTAATCAGTTTGGCTTCTGAGCGCCTCATTTGTCAAGTGCCAAGCCTATTCCAAGAGGATAAGACTTTGTAGTTGGATTTAATCGGTCGCCTTACCGTAAGACTACTTGATTTTGTTATACAATATCGTACAGATGTCACTCTGGTAACGTGCGGGGACGCAGAATAAATAATTTCAGTTTATTTTTATCAGCTGTGTTTATTCGAAGAAAAAATGTAACGAGTCAAAATGTTTTTTATAATTCCACATTTTCTCACGACCAGGATCAAATAAACCGGTCGAATCGAAAATGGGTATTTTTCGTAGGTCTAATAACGATGTATCGTTCTATGACGACCACCTGTCGGCGTCTCAACACCAGAATTGCATCCAACAAGCCGTTTGCGTCCGGCACGCGTTCAAGTACTACGGCCCGACCAGGAAACCCAACCACGTGCTCAGCAGCCTGCACATGACCGTCGCCAAAGGCACGGTGTACGGATTGCTCGGGGCCAGCGGTTGTGGCAAGACCACGTTGCTCAGCTGCATAGTAGGCCGACGGCGATTGGACAAGGGACACGTCTACGTGCTAGGCGGCAAGCCCGGCAAAAAAGGCAGCGGCGTGCCCGGCAAACGGGTGGGATACATGCCTCAGGAGATAGCCCTGTACGGGGAGTTCTCGATCAGAGAGACGATGATGTATTTCGGTTGGATATTCGGCATGGAAACCGCGAAAATCATCGACAGGGCGCGGTTCCTGCTGGAGTTGCTGGAACTACCGGGCCAGTCAAGTCTGGTGAAGAACCTCAGCGGCGGACAGCAAAGGAGAGTGTCGTTCGCGGTGGCGCTCATGCACGACCCTGAACTGTTGATTCTGGACGAGCCCACCGTCGGCGTCGACCCCTTACTCCGGCACAGCATTTGGAATCATCTGGTCCACATCACAACCGAGACCGGCACGACGGTGATCATCACGACGCACTATATCGAAGAAGCCAGACAAGCTCACAAGATCGGGTTGATGAGAAACGGAAGACTGTTGGCCGAAGAGTCCCCCGCCGTGCTGTTGACTAGGTACGACTGCCAGTCGCTGGAAGAGGTTTTCTTGAAACTGAGCAGAAAACAACGTTCGGACGACACTACGGCTGACACTTCCAATAACATTTCACTGGCGACAACGAAAACAAGTGACCTGGCCAAAGCCAGCAAAACCGCCGAAGAGGAGACCGACTCGCCGGAGCCACCCGATAGCGTTGCAACCGAAGACGTTGTCATATCAATCCAGCCGAACAGTGACGGCGGTACGGCCGCACAAGTGCTGAAGATAAAGCCGGAAGAGCGGCGCCGAGATTCCTGTTGCTGTGGCATCACTTCGTGGGGCAAAACGAAAGCTCTGTTGCAGAAGAACTTCTTGAGAATATGGAGAAACGTCGGGATGATGTTGTTCATGTTCGCGCTGCCCGTCATTGAGGTGGTGCTGTTTTGTTGGGCCATCGGCAGAGACCCGAAAGACTTGCACCTGGCCGTGGCCAACTCGGAAATGGACTGGCGGACCAAAGAATGTCCGGTCTACACCAATTGTACGCAGAGCAAGTTGTCTTGCAAATACTTAGACGCGTTGCCGAAGGACACGTTGATATTGGACTACTACGAGAACGTCGGGGCAGCGTTGGACGCGGTCAGACGGGGCCACACTTGGGGAGCCGTGCACTTTGCAGCAGACTTTTCGGATTCGCTGTTTGCGCGCACGCATTTGGGCGGAACGGCCGACAACGCGACGATGGAACACGGCGAAGTGCAAGTGTGGCTGGACATGTCCAACCAACAGATAGGGTTGATGTTGGTTAGGTATTTGCAAACGGCGTACGGCGACTTCAAACGGGACCTGCTCGTGAGGTGCGGTCGAAATCCCAAACTCGGCGACTTGCCCGTCACCTTCAACGAACCCGTCTACGGGAATTCCAACCCCACCTTCGAGAACTTTGTCGCGCCCGGAGTGATCTTGACCATCGTGTTCTTCTTGGCCGTGGCGCACACCACGTCGTCGTTGATTACAGAGCAGACGGAAGGTCTGCTGGACAGGAGTTGGGTGGCCGGCGTCACTACGACCGAGCTGCTGTTCTCGCACGTGATCACCCAACTCTTGATCATATGCGGGCAGGCGGCGTTGACGTTGGTCTTCATGCTGGTCGTGTTCCGGGTGGAATGCAAAGGACGCACCGGTCTGGTGATCGTGCTGACCCTCATGCAGGGCCTGTGCGGCATGTGCTACGGCTTCGTCGTGTCCGCGGTGTGCGACCGCGAACGCGATGCCAACCAATTGGCCATGGGCAGTTTCTACCCGATGCTTTTGCTCAGCGGAGTCATCTGGCCGGTGGAAGGCATGCCGAAAGTCTTGTGGTACGTCAGCTACTGTTTGCCCCTGACCACGGCCACGACGTCGTTGCGCAGCATACTGTCCAGGGGTTGGGGCCTGCTGGACGACGGCGTTTACCTGGGCTTCGTGTCCACCGCGTTGTGGATACTGCTGTTCTTGTCCCTGAGCATGGCGATATTCAAGTATAAGAACGGTTGAAACGCACAGCCTCAAGCTGATATTATGTTTTTTATTTTACTATTTTTTTACGGTGTGAGAAACACGGCCAAAGACCGACTGGTAAGTGCACGAGGTACTCTCTCTCTCTCTTTACGACACCCAGCTCTTTCCCCTGTGGTAGAAATATGGATGTCAGTGGCCACGAGTCGATAAAATGTTCCTTTACAAAGATTACCTTCCGAAATGACGATATAATATATAAAACATACTTTGCGCTATTTGATTTTACAAGGTGGCTAATAAAATATATGATTAAGACAACATTTGTTTATTTTTTTTTGTTTAAACTCAGCTAAGGTCGCTATTTTTTTGTACTCGTGTCATTTTTTAACGTTTATCAGATAATGTAGAACTTGAAAATAACGGTAAACAATGAAGCCATAGTGAATACATGTGTTATGTTCATAACAAACTTAATCGGATTGTTATTTGAATTACTCAATTAATATATTGCGAAGGCTTTCGCAAATATTTTGCCGGTTCCATTGTCAAGGAGTCAATACAATAGTAAACAATCAGTTTAAGACGCTCTAGGACATCCTTATGTTTATTATTAGCGTTCCATCGGTTCGGCTTGTCCTAATGAGCATTCAAATAAATTGACATAATATATTACTATATATAGTAAGCATCATGAAAATGTCAATGTCAAATAGTATTGCGTAAAAAAATAATATCGTTTGTGATATAGCAAATGTAATATAATAATATTTTAGTAATTATTTGTATGACATAAAATACAAAATATGATTATTTTTTAATATCAATTACATTTAACACTTGATTAATACAAAAATAAAATTAAAGTAACTATATTATGGTTGTTTTATTGTACTTACCTTCTTTTGAAATAAAAAAATGATGATAATTTTCAATTTAATATATTAGAATTGGTTAATAAAAAAAATGCGATACAGTATTAAAGTGCTTCTTGATCATATGGTTAAGCAAAAATAATAATATTGGTTTTTTTGTAATAGATTTTACAGTCACTATTTTTAAAAATTATTACTTCTTTTATCAGTGCTAACTAATGGAAGGAGAGCGTGCAAATTTTAGCCTTTTAAAACTTCCTCAGTCCTTCAAAAAAATCATTAACTTAACTGATGTAACGCCCGCGTTTTTTGTTACCTTAATTTTATGAAAAGAGTTTAATGGGTTTTAAATTGTCTGAACTTTACACTTCAATACTCTAGTTATTTTGTTATAATATTATATCATTTAGGGGGTGGATTTTTTTTTTTTTTATAAGCGTAGACCGTCGAAATTTTGGCGTTTTTTGGAAGACCGGCAGGAAATTGATCGATTCCAGGAATTCCAAAACTGTTGTCAGCCATACACGAGTTCTCTATGTTATCAACGTCGATGAAGCGTACGCTTTGTCGAGGCTTTTGGAAATATGTAAGGTCGTTGAAATTGTAATTTATACTTCCCAAGTCGGGCGAGCAAGTCACCGGTACGTAATTAGGCGATTGTACTTGATTTAGTAGTTTATTGTATGTGTATTTCGGTGTACAGCTCAGCGACGCAGGGTGTGTTAGCACAAACTTAATGAGTGTCACAATGAACGCCGTGGGTAAAACGGTCAACAAACAAGCATGAGTGCTTAGTGTTCCTATCAAAACGTTAATATCTTCGGGTTTTAACGTGCTCAAAGCAGTCGGTGTGCATATTGGCCCTACTAGGTTCACCGCTATTGTTTGGGGCAACTTGCAGAGTATATTCGGGAATAGTGTTACAGTTTTCGCCACGAACAATACAAGTAGACCCGGAGATAACGCACAAATTACTTGTGGTCTAGACGCTAATAGGGTCAGTAGTTTACACAGGGTTTCTTCTGGTAAACACAACGAAGAGGATGTCGATAGAGTGGATAACGTCGACGATAACACGGTTAGAGGTAACGCGTTGAAAACATTTTCGAACGTTAGAATCAGGTTGAGCAAATCGTTGAAAATCGAGTTGGTAAGAGTACACTGCAAGTTGGGACAGTCGAAGATGTTCAATACCGGAGTGAGTATCTCGGCAGGTAAACCGCCCAGCAGGTCTGGTTTGATAGTAGCCAAAGACGTAAGAAGATCAATTAACACGACAGGTTGAACGCAGTGAAGTGCAGAAGGTACGGTGGTCAGTGCGGCCAAGAACGAAGCCAGTAACGCGTTCGGTATGGTGGCCAGTAAATTGGGTGTGGATAACAGTAAGGTCAGCAAAATGTTCAATCCGCTTTTCGGAATGGCCGTGAGCAAACACGGATGACGGGTTAAGAGAGTCAGCAGCGAGACGATATCCGACGAATCTAGTTTGACCAAAGCTTTTGTTTCGATTGCAACAGTAAAAACCGTAGACACTACCGAGGGCGGAACAGAGTGCAGCACCGGAGGCGAAACCAACGACAGTTTGAGCAGGGAAGAAATAAACAACGTTACCGGAATTTCTGTTACGAGTTTGGGCTGCAGGACAATAGCGGTTAGTAAATTGACGTATACGTCACAAGGTATCTCCTTGGCCACGCCCTGTGAGGTGGATAAGAGTTGAAGCACATTTACAAGCACAGACGATGGCGTATCTGCTAACAGACACGTGGATTTTGCCAAGCAGGCGATTAGTGCGACCAAACAGTTGACCGGCAAATTACTCAGTACTTCTGGAGAGCCCAAAAACGTTATCAGCTTACAGCGAACGGCAGCCGGTATGGTAGACAAGAGCGAAGGCGCTACGTCCAACACGGTTTTCAACAAGATTATCAATTTTTGCAGCGTCAAAGCGTTCAAGTCGTCGGATATGCATTGGAACAGATTGCAAATAACGGTCGGTGGGAGTTGGCCTATGATGAACGGGAATTCAATCAGAAGGTCGATCAAGCAGTTCAAGTCGGTCGGTGTGAGTCCGAGGCATTTTTCCAATGTGCACAAAGGCAGTAGGATATTTGCGATGACCGTCGCCTGTATTGTGACCAACGTGCATTTATTGACGGTGGACAATTTGTAGAGTAACTTGATGACGGACGATATTGGAATTGCTTGCAGGATCGTAGGATTTTCACCTAGTAAGGCGAGTAAGTCGATGCAAACGCTCGGACTGATCGCAACCATAGCCTGTGGACTATTCGACAAAACGTCAAGTAAAGCTTGCAGAGTTGCTGGATTCAATCCTTTAAATAAACAGGGACAACTCGACACGATCGTGACCAGTTGTGTGAGCACATCGACGGGTAATCCGGCCAGCTTGTTTTCGTATGCCAGCGTGGCAGTGAAATTTTGTAGCGTCTTGACTTGCAGCGAGTCGAATATCCCTGGACAGAAGGTGTGTATGGCGCAGAGTAATTTGATTTTGATACCTATCGACAAGCCGTTATGGCCAATCTTCTCCGAAACGGCCAAGTCCAGTGCGACGGCTAGTTTGTCCACAGGAATTTGCGCCAAAAAGCTCGGGCAATTAGCCAGCAAGTGTATCAGATTCGCTATATCTATCAACTTGAGCGTTGCCAAAGCCTTTGTGTCGGCAAAGAGAAATTTAGCGACGTCGCCTATTACAGAAGGAGGTAACAAACACAACACATCTGTCGGCGGATTACATCCGATTTTAATCAATAAATTTATCAACACTTCCGTTCGGATCTTTCCTAATAAAATTTTACTTGTAAATATATGCGTCAGTACGTTCATATGAACGCTACTGTGGATCGCCAGCAGTAAACTGTTTGACTCTGTTATCGTTTTTAGGATGTTGTTAAGGAGATCCGCGTGCACTAGATTCAATATTTCAGGACATACGGACAGAGTAGTATGTAACTGTACAAATATAGAGCTGGGGATCGCCTTCAACACTGTTATGGGGGTTAAACATTGGAATAGACACTGTAGTTCTTTTTCTGGTATGCACGAAATCAAAATCGGAGACACCTTGGAAATGCTGTACACCAGATTGACAATGCACGTTGGCTGTAAAGCGTTTAGCGCATCTACGTTCGATACTAAGGCTATCACCATTGCTTTTATGTCGTCTGCCGCCAGTTTGGTCAACAAGCACGGAGTCTGGCTAACGAGTTCACATAGCTTAGCTGTTGTTTTTGGAGGCAGTTTCTTGATTGTAATGGGATTAGCCAGAATTTTCGCGAAGATCTTGAGAGTAGAAGACGGTAAATTGCATAAAAAGTCAGGCGATATAGCATTAATCTCGATGAACAAATTGACCAACACTTCCGGTTTGATGGTCTTAAGCGTTTCCTCGGACAAAGACAAGCCAACTAGTAGTTTCTGAAGTAAAATCTGAGGCACGCAGTCCAGTATTCCAGACGTTTGCACTGCGTTTAATAATTCGGATATCAGTTCGCATTTAGTAATGGAACACAGAGTAGGAGACGAACCAAAGATGGCCAGTAAGTCGATGAGAGTTTCCGCCGACAAACTCTTGATGCAACCTTGGATTTGTATGAACAGTTTAATAAGCACTTCAGCGCTTATCGAACTGATTAGAGACGGAGCTGCGGTTGAAATTTTATTCAGCAAACGGACCAATTTCGATATTAGTATTTTGTCTAACTTGTGCGGTTTCTCCACAAGCTGTTTTATTAAATCTTCGACCATTTCGGCGCACAGCTCTAGCAGTACGCATTGGGAATTGATCAAAGTGTCGATTAAATTGGCTACGTCGGTTGGATTTAGTTTGCCGAATTCTTTAGGGTTCAAAATGGGTTTTAACAACGTCAGAACGACCGCAGGGTTGAGCTCGCATAACGCACACGGGTTTTTGATGGCTATATTGGTTAGCAAGCAAACGACAGCAGACGAAGGAAGACATTTCTGGACACTCGGGCTTGTGCTTATAGCGGTTAGGAGTTTGACGATTGTCGCCGTGGACAAAGATTGCAGCAACGACGAGGACAAGTTCAGATGGTCGATTAAGGCCACAATCGATTCAGGGTGGACTTGATTGAACAAAATCGGTGACTCGCATAACGCCGTCAGACAATTTGCTAT